ACCTCCGCCTTCTCTAAGGCCCATGACACCATGGCCAGCTCCCCTTTAACAGCAGGGGGCTGGGAACGGAGAAAGTCCGGCTTGCTCTTGCCCTCTTTAAGACTCATGTAGTCTGCTCTTAAAATTGGCCTGCCTCACAGGTAAGCTGGATAGAATAAGGTGAGGCCTAATGAGTGGGGGGCTTCTACATGTTACCCCTTCTCACGGGGATGCACCCTGCCAGCATCCCTGGGATTGACCCTATAATGGGTTCAAATAAAACCGCTCTCCTGCCCCAGGGTATTGTTTCTGAGACAGAAAATATAATTAACTGACTAAATACAATGAACTGCTTGCTGCCTCCGCCCCTTCCCTAAAGGCAAACCATGAGAACCCAAACCAGGAGCCCCAGGGAGGAGCAAGAACATGAATTCTCCCAACCTCAGAGTTCCAGAATGATTCTTAGGGGCTCGTGAGTCATTCTGTGCACCATATAGAGAGATGAAATGGGTTGACTTATATGCACTGATTTTCATATGTGGGTACTATTGTGGTTTATAACATACAAATGTACTTCCTAGTGTGATTAGTTAATAAGTTAGTTTGACCCAACAGTGACTCTGGAAGAGGATCCCCTCCGAGGGTCAGCTGGTGTGGGCGCGCTGCCTCCGCTCTCTTGTCCTGAAGATTGACATCCTCAGGCCTGGAGCCCCGACGTTGTGACTAAACAATTATCACCTGTCAGCGCTCAGGCCTGTTTCTCCAGAAAAATCAAAGACACAACACTCAGCACACAACACATGGGTTAGCCATAGCATGAGGGCGACTACAGGCCAAGGGTAAAGAAGATGGAACTCCCTGGACTTTGCCATCCAACAAAGAGAAGACTGGCTGCCACAGAAAATGCCAGAAAGCCCCAGACTTAGCACAGGGAGGCCACAGAGAGGAGACTCTAGGATACTGCCAGCATCTGGAAGTGCAGGGGGACCCCCAAAGGCAGGAAGTATGAAATTCCTAAACTCCTGCCCCTGCCAACAGCTGGTCCAAGAAGCCCACCAGGGTGGTTCAGCTGACTGTGTCCCCCTCCTTCCCCAGCCCCCCCACCGCCAAGGCTGCCTGAGGCCACCCCACCAGCCTCAGATGTGAGCACTCCAGAAGAGGGGCAGGTCATCACCCTCCGTGAAGGTGCCACAGCAGGGCTCTGAGGCGATTCTGCCTTTCTGTTTCTGCTGGGAATGGAAACTTCAGGAATTCTGCCATCACCAGAGCTCTGTTCCTACCTCTCCTGCCACTCCCCTCGCCTCCCTCCCACCCATCTTCCTTGGAGAAAACACAGGAAGATGCTTCTCTTCATTAGTCTACACAGGAGCCGAGCCTTCAGAACCATGTACCTTCCACCAGTAAATGGGGACCCAGGGGAACTGGGACTTCATGGTGGGGTTTCACCAGGTGCTAAGAAATCGCAAGAAAAAAGATCCCTTTTTTAAAAATTGATATAGGGAATGTGTAATGGGATATGTCTTTTTTCATACCTTCCTGAAGAGAAAAGCCCGGCTTCCTTTTCTTCCTCTGAGTGGGAGAGCTATGAGTGTGCTTGAGCTGCCAGCCCATGAGAGGGAGCTGTTTTTACAGAAGACATGATTCTTATGAAAAGCCCATGTGGTTTCTACCACAGAAGCACGTTGTCCCCATGCCCACCCCACGCTCCTGCTAATATGGTGGTTATATGTATGGAAGCAAACATCTTCAGCCATTAACACTCGCCCCAGCTGGGCACAGTGTAGTAGCCAGCTTGGTGCAAAGTAAAATTTGTAGAGAAAAATATTCACCATATGGGACTGTCTCTTAATATTCCTTTCCAGCTGCTCTGAGAAGGGTAATAGCACAGGACATGCCGCTTGGAATAGAGTTAAATGAGTTCCCCTACTCCCAGAAGAACCTTAAAAATGAGTTTAGGCTCTTCCCACACGCTGGGGCATCAGTAAGGAAATGGTTGGCAGCCCCTGCCCAAAACGACCTTTGAAAGGCCTGGTTGGCGGCCCACCTCCCGGAAGTCCCAGTGTGACTCCTAGCAAGTCTCTGTCCTGAAAGTAGCTCTTGCTGGTGAGAGACCAAAGGCGGGGGTGGGGAGGAGGAGAGTGGGACCCAGGATTATGTTGTGAGAGGGAGTGTGAGGCCAGCAGAAGAGAGCAGGGCCTACATGGCTTCCTCCCACTCATCCTCCCAGTCCTCTAAGGATAAGCTTCTTAGGATCTTTGTTGAGAGATGTGATACTCTGCCCTAGTTCTCCTGGGATAGTATAGGGTGAACCCGCAGAAGAGGAAGCGGTGAGGTGCCAACCTTCATGGACCAGAGCCAGGCCCTTCTGCAGTGGCCCATGCCCTTGGCACAGGTGGGATGCTTTGGGTCTTATAAGACAACCTCGATTTGCATTCACAATTAGACACAGCCACCAGAGATGATTCTCTCGGCTGTGAAGACCCCTGGGGACAAGCCCACAGAGCGATGCTTGCAGAGCTCCAGATGTCCTAATCATTTCCTGCAAGTCATCCACCTCCCGGGCAGGTCCCTGAAGGAGAAGGTTCTGGGTTTAGAAATGGCCTGATTTCCTCACATTTTGTGAAACCTTTCAGCTGACCCTCTACCTTCTATTCATTCAGTCATTGGTTTACTCAACAAATAATTATTATTTTTTAATATATTTTATTGATTTTTTACAGAGGAAGGGAGAGGGATAGAGAGTTAGAAACATCAATGAGAGAGAAACATCGATCAGCTGCCTCCTGCACACTCCCTACTGGGGATGTGCCCACAACCAAGGTACATGCCCTTGACCGGAATTGAACCCGGGACCCCTCAGACCACAGGCTGATGCTCTATCCACTGAGCCAAACTGGTTAGGGCAACAAATAATTATTGAGGATCTACCTGCCACTTGCCAGGCCCTGTGAAAGTTCAGGGGGAGGGCTCCTGCCCTCAGAAAAATTATAGCCTGCCCTAGCTGGTTTGGCTCCGTGGATAGAGCGTCAGCCTGTGGACTGAAGGGTCCCAGGTTCAATTCCGATCAAGGGCATGTGCCTGGATTTGGGCCTCGATCCGTGGTGGGGGGTGCGCAAGAGGCAACCAATGATTCTCTCTTATCACTGATGTTTCTATCTCTCTCTCCCTCTCCCTCCCTCTTTGAAGTCAATAAAAAAAATTTTTTAAAGGAATATTATAGCCTAGAAAGAGAACAGACAACAAATAAGTAAACAAATCAACAGGGTAATTACAAATTACTATAAGAGCCATGACGGACATGAAGAGGATACATGAGATGGAAAGTAGCTGGGAAGGGCTGTGCGATAGGGGAGGCCCCTCTGCAGAGAGCACATTTGAGCGGAGACCTCAAGGACAGGAGTGGCGTGAGAAGAGCTGGAGGAA